TTTTCAGATAATGATACACTTCATGAACCAACAAAATATTATCATTAATCTGTCTTCCAGCTATAAACGCACGCTGCTGTTGAGAGATGTACCTATCCATCAACCCTCTCAGCCTATTTGTCATTATCTTAGCAATTACCTTATAGATCACATTGCAAAGCCCAATAGGTCTAAAATGAGAAACCATTTCAGGCTTATCAGTCTTAGGTATCAACACAATATTAGTGTTATTAATAGCATTCAAATCAACTGATCCAGAAAAGAATTGTCTCACCATTTCACAGACTTCACATTTTATCTCAGACCCTAGTACCTGTTTGAAAACACCCATTTAATCAAAATTGATTATTGAAATAAAAAAAAAATGGGTTGGGTAAAAAAAGCCCAAACACGCGATTTTGAGAATAATTGTGTTTTGGATGAAGCTAAGGAGAGTAGCTTTTCAATTTCAATTTTCAAAATCAATTATATTAATCAAATTTTTTATAATCAATTATACTCAATTAAAATTCATACACACCCTTAGACAATGGAAGAATCTAAGTGAGTTCTAATAAAAAAAATTAATTAAACGCAGTTGGATTTTTTATATATTTCTTTAAAATATAATAAGTTAAATACTTGAAAGTTCAATAATTACAATTATAAATAGTAAAAAAAAATCTTTTATCTCCGCTCGTACAAATATGACATGGAGCACTGTAATTAATTCAATATTTTGAATTTTAGTGTTATTCTCCATTGAACATAACCCAATCTATCAAAACAAATCAAGCAGAAAAAGCGCAAACTACAAACAATTATAACTAATAATGGCAGGATTCATCAAAACTTTGTATAAGATTATTTCAACCAATGTGGTAAATTCCCCTTCTGTTTTTCCATTTTTCCCTGCAGCCTCAATCACAACGTTCTTAAATTCCTCAAGGCCTGAAATAATACTCTCTCCATCTTAAATTATAAGACATTTTTAGATAAAATTTCACATACAAATAAAGCTCATTAAATACACTTTACAACCTTATCTTTTCAAAACAAAAATATAAACTTTCAAAAATGTCATTTATTTAATACTTCATTAATAAAAGAATATTGAAAAGAAAGAATATACGGGAAATGTAATATTGAAAAAGTATCATTAATGAAACTTTAATTTTATCAAAGTATTTTATATTTTAAAATGTTAAATCTTTTAAAAATATTTTATAATTTAAGACGGAGGGAGTAATTCACAAGGAAATAGAGAATTGTTAGATGAAGATATTGATTAAGATATTGGGTGTACATGAAAAAATTTCCTTCTATGTAGGGCCGGAGGAGTACACTCCAGAAAGTAAGACACATCCACAGTTCCACGCCAAACTTGCATAAATAACAAAACGGCTCATCATCTTTTCTTTGAATGCAAAAGGCATTTCCAAAACCAGATAACACTCTGATGTTCATTGAACACTAAACACTGCCTTTTGCCCCCACCAACATTTATATATTCTGTGCATTTTTTTCTTTTAAACAAGTTCCGCGATAATTAATTGTCATTTAAACCATTAAACTAATTTTCCTTTTTTTAAAAAAAAAAAAATTTGAAGTAGAGCATCCTCCACCATGTTTTGGTTTGTGGGAAAAAATTTCTTTTGCTGGATGAAGGGAAAGCATTCAGTCAGCCTCAAGACAGAAAAAAGTCCATAACATAACCGTTCTCTGCATAAAAGGGAAACATGAACCTACACAAGCATATGAACCTATTAATGTTGAGTTCAAATTTGATCTCTGATTGTATCAGCTTAATCAAAAATTTTGAATTTAAACTTTGAAAATGCAACAACATTAATGATAGAGCTTTCACTTAAAAAGGTCCCATTTCAGCTCGATCTAGATTAGTCTTAAGACCATGTTAAAGAATATTCTTAATTTAATATGAAATAGACCTATCATACTTGGGCCTTGTTTGATACAATATATTGAATTTTGAAAGATTAGGATTAGAATTGGAAATGAAACTCAACATGAGATTAGTAGTGGGAATATTTTTTTAAAAAATCATGTTGACATAAGATAGGATTTAAAAAAAAAAATGTCACATGAAAAAGGGTAAAAGACATAAATATCCTTATCTTTCTCCTTGCTCTGTGCCACCCAAAGCCAGTCGCATCATCTTGTCATCTTCCTCTCCCTGTCAGTAATCCAACTAGAAATCTCTAAGCTACCATCAACCTTCATTCCTTCAAAGCTTAACTATGAGGACCAGAATTAGAAGCGGCCAGTCTCATCCTCTGCTCCATGAAGAGAAAAACTCTTGATCTCGTCGAAAAATTGGCAACGTTGGCTTGGGCCGGTGTCAACGTCAAAGGATTGGCCACACTAGCATTTAAAAATCACATCTTTGCACCCCTCTTGATTTATTTGTTGATTTCCTTTATCTGCGAAAGTGACCTTGGTCCCTTTATTCCACCCCGATTTTGCATCAATGCTTAATATCTCTGTTTCTGTAACTAGTTGTCTTCAATTTTTTCCCCCTACCCATGGAGAAAGAGGGGTCAGTGGACCTTCACCATGTTCTTATGACACACAAAGGACAATATTTAAGATACCTAACAAACTTAAACTCCAGATACGTGAAAACCAAGCAAAAACGGTAGAGAAAATTTTCCAACCACTCGTTGGAGGAGGGGTCGGCATCGACATCTCTCGGGTCGTATGTGAAGAAGCTCAACAGAGGGATGGAGTGGAGGGCAGAGGGAGCGACCAGAGAGGATGGAGGTGAGGGCAATTTGATCTAAAAATATTCAATCCCAAGATTAATTTTCTAGTGCGACAGGTAGTGATATTTAGTACATTGGATTGGAATTGAGATCAAATTTTTCATTATCACACGCCAAAAATGAAAGCGTGATATAACCGAACCCAGTCCCTCCCAATCCTTTATAATAAATGAAGCTAATGATATGAGTTGAACTCGCCGGCTCAACTCATCAATCTCTAAAAGAATGATGAGTTGAATTAAAAAAAATGAATTTATTTAGATGTAAGCTTGAATTTGTAGCTAGTTCACCAATAAGGTACCAGGGTAACCCATTTATATTTTTTTTTAAAAAAAATAAATAAATAAATGAGATTGAATTTAAATTAAAGCATTCAAAATAAGCATGCATGAAATTATAGTCTAAATACTCAACACTTATACATTTATTTAATTTGAGCTTAAATTATGACAGAAAACAATAAAAATACGCCATTTAGATATAAGTTAAACATCTCAAATCGTAACATTATATTTTTATTTTGTCCTAACAAAGATCTAATTTAAAAATTACCAATTATTTTCAATAATTAATTGGACATAGTTATTTTAGTTCTCTCAAGGTTGATGAATGCTAAAATCTAAACAAAACAAAAAAGAAATTGTGTATATGTAAAAGAAAAATTTGCACAAAGTGCAGAAACTAGAGAATAAAACGATCACAAAATTAAATTAATTTATATTTATATGATGATATAAGCATGGCTTGATTAGAAAGATTTTTATTATTATTTAAATAATTATTTTTTAGATAGAATATATTTTTTTTTACAGAAAAAAATAATAAAAAAGGAATTTATAATTTTTAAAATTAAAAAAATAAAAAATCATTAAAAAATATATTTTACTGACGGGTTGGATTGACCAGCCAACCCGCTGCAAGTTATGTAAGTTGGCAAAATTATATCCAGCAGAAGATATGAATTGTGCCAACTTATTTATGAAACCCACAATTTACTGCGAGCCAAGTCACAGGTTATGAGTTGATTCGTGTTATTGGCTTTAATATTAAACTTAGCGTTTGCGTTCATAAGAAAATTCCCTCAACGCGGGACCGTAAGAGTGCACTCTAGAAACTAGGAGGCATAACACATCCACACCCAACCCGCATTAATAACAGCACCGCTATGCATATTTCCTTTGAATGCGACAGGCTTTTGCGAACTCATAATCACCCCCAATACAAGGTGGTGTTTCTCCCAACACTGTACTATACTCCCTCTATTTTTATCCATAAAAAAAAACTATTATTTTTAATTTATTTTTTGTATAAATTAAATTATATCTTTAATAATGATTTATTGCAAATTTTTTAAATTACCCTACATAATTTTATTATTCATAATTATAAAAAATAATTAACGAAGACTTGATTAATAAAACTAATAAAAAGTATTATAATTTATTTTTTTTTATTTTTAAATATAATTTAATATAATTAACTGATTTTTTTAAACTGTGACACACAATTTTTTCCTTTACAGGTAGAAACTGAGACAGTATGTCCATTAAACAATAAACATACTGCCTTTTCCACCTACCAACATTTATATCCTATTTATTTTTCCAAAAGAAATCGATTGACAACTATTCACTTTAATTTATAACTATTTATCCGAGTTAATTAATTGTGATTTAAACCATTAATCTAATTTTCACCTGTTTTAATTTGAAGTAGAGCATCCTGCTCCTCCATTTTTGTGTTGGGGAAACATAGGTTTTTGGTGGGTGAGGGGAAAACGTTCAGTCAACCTCAATAAAATTTTTTTGAAAAAAATTATCCCTGACCAAACCCTTCGACATAAAAGAAAGAAACACATTATACACACGCACATGTAAATATGTCTTCGAACCTAAACAATTACAATCTCAATAAATGACATTAACTATTACAAGAACATTTTGAACTTAAACAATAACAATAATTAAGTCTCAAAAATAACAAATTAATGACATCTGAGTATCTAATATTTTTTTTAAAAATTATAATTTATAAATATTAATTTAAATAATTATAAATAAAAGTCTTTCAGTCATGAATAAGATATTTAAATTTTAAAAGTAATTCTTTTAGTCATTTAAATCCATATTTATAATTAATGTTTTTATTAATTTTATGTACCAAAAATTTGTGTCATCCTCCCTGAAACAATCCAACCTTTCAAATTAAGTAGAAATACTGAAATAGTACAAACTAAAATCAGTGTAACTCATGGAAGGATTCATTAATTCAATATTTTGATTTTTAGTGTCATTCTCCATTAAACGTAATCCAATCTATCAAATGAAATCAAACAGAAATAGTACAAACTACAAACAATTATAACTAATAATGGCAGGATTCATCGGAACTTTCTAAGAGATTAATTTTTTCAACCAAAGTGTTAAAGGCACGTTCGGTTTTCCCATTTTGCCCTGCAGCCCCAGTCACAACGTTCTTCAATTCCTCGGCCTTGTCTCTCATCACCTTCCCTTCTGGCTGCTTCAGAACCCGGTTCAAGCTTCTGATCAACGCGTTCTTCGTGAACAACCCACCTTCAATCTTCACCCCAACCCCCCAAACATCCTCTACCATTCTCGCCGCCATGAGCTGATCTCCGAAATAAGGCCTGCATATCATGGGGACGCCGCTCGACAGTGACTCGCTCACTGAGTTACACCCTCCATGAGTCACGAAAGCTCCCACTGATTCGTGACCTAAAACTAGCGTTTGTGGAGCCCATGGAACCACCTTCCCCTTCTCGCTTGTTCTTTCCAGAAACCCTTTTGGAAGAAACGCCTTTGAATCGTCTTTTAGGGACCAGAGAAATGGAACACCTTCGAGCTCTTCTAGTGCTTCTGCAATGGCGACGACCTCGTGACGAGGAGGTGAAACCACTGTTCCTAAGCTGATATATACCAGTGATTTGGCACTGTGCTGGTCTAGCCAACTCAAGCTTCCGGTTTTGTCAGTGTTCGCCGGCGGCGGAGGCGGCAGCTGCCGAAATGTGAGGGAGAGATTCAGAAAACCTACGTAGATCAGAGATTTCATCTTGGATCTCAGATCCTGAACCATTAGAGGTGGGTCTAGTTCCTCGTAGAAGTTAACCACCACTGCCTCAGCTTCTGGAAGCACCCTCCCCATGGAAGCTAGCATCTTTGAAAATGCAGATTCTTCTTCTTCGTCTTTGCCTTTGAGTATCTACACATACAATAAGAAGCTTTACTTATAAATTATAATGATTCAGGTTATTTTCCAAAATTGAAGGCAAAAATAATGAAAGTGCGTACAATGGATTCTGGTAAATCCTGGATTCGCATCTTTGAGAAGCCAGGATTGATGAAAGCCAAGCTTCCATCTTCAACACCACCACCAACGCGATGCTTTTCGCGGATCAATTGTGTGTGGAAGTGAGCAGAGAGAGAACAAGTATACGAAGTCCAGAGAGCAATCCAAGGCACACCATTCTCTTGAGCAAGAACAAGAGAAGAAGTCACGAAAGCATCAGAAATCACACACGTCACTCTCAGATTCCTCTCTGAAACCGCCATACTTAGGCCCTGTTTCAGGTTCTGAGGACCAGCTTCGAGAAAGAAGTTCAGCCTCCGGGATGGGTGGTGGTTGGTGAGGTCGAGACCGTCGGTGATTCCGTCGGAGACAGTGTAAAACCTGATGTTTTCAGGGATGGTGTTGCTGAGTTTGGAAGATAAGAGGGAATGCTTACTCTGTGGGGTGGTGAAGAAGGAGAAGCTCACGTGAGGAGCAGCATGTGCTAGCTTGACAACAAGGTTGAGCAGTGGAGCGGCGTGAGTGCCGTAGGGGAAGGCGAAGACTGCCACGTGTCTGCTCCGATCAGGCGAGGCTCCGCCCATGGTGGTGGCTGTGGCTGAGAGTAGAATAGAGGTATGAAGACGACCACAGTCAAAAGGTGGTTTTCGTTGAAAGGCACCATGCTGGGTTTGGTCATATTTATAAAATTTTGTTTTTGTAATATTTATACTTCATGTGTTTCACTTTTTATTGTAAATTTTTTCTTTTATTTTTTATTGAACATGATAAAAATAAGTGTCTTATTATAATATGTAACTTATGAGATTAGATTTAATGGGATCTCTTACTGTATAATAAATTAAATTTTAAATTCTTAAGAAAAAAAATACTCATTTTTAGTAGTCAAAAATACTGCGAACGTAATTATTTCCATTAGACATATAAGCAATAAATAAATAAATATATAATATAAATAAAAGATGAAAACTTACTAGAATTTTAGAGTTACTAATTTTAAAATCTTAATTAATTGTGATGAAATTTGTTAAGAGTCATTTATAAATAATATTAAAATGAATATGCATATATTTATTAATAGATCATAGATGCTTCTTTGCTTTTTTTTTTTAAAAAAAATTGCCAATTTAAATCTCTTTGTTTTCTGCTTTTATTTTCTTATGGGAGCTAACAGATATTAGCAACATACAGAGCGTAAGCATAGAAGTTTAATTTGTTAGGTAGATTTGTTTAGATATGAATCTTCTCACCTGCTCAAGCACAGTGAAAAAGAGAATGATGAATATGAATTTTATATTTGTATTGATTTTACAATAAATTCAACCATTCTCCTTTTAAATTGTACTCAAGCAATTTTAAAAGATTCGAATCCAATTTGTTTTATACAAAGAAGTTGAGAATTCATGTTTTAAACGTTTAATTCAAGGGATGAAAGCCTGGTGGTTTATGCTAACCGGAACGTAAAATATATTCTAAATTTTTAACAAGCTTTAAATTAATAATCCTTCAAATTTACTAATATATTTGTTGAATGCAAAGGTGGGGATAGGGTTTGGCCACCAAGATGCGAGGGTTTGGTCAAGCCTCGTGGCCCGTGCAGTTTTAAATTCACTCCCCCTCTTCCCTACTCTCATTTAATAAAAATCATATATAAGACTCAATTTGATAATTATCTAAATTTAATAATATAGAAGATTATTTTAATTTTAATTATTTAAAATTTAAAATATACATTTTAAAAATTTAACATTTAAAATTACTCTTAAACTTATAATTTAAAATTTAAATTATATATTAATTTTAAATTAATTATAATATATTTTATATTTTAATTATTTAATCATATATGTTTTATAAGATTTATTAATAAAAATAAATTTTTATAAATTTATAATTTGACTTTATATTTTTATCATGAATTTATTTAAATTGGTGAGTTTGATATCTTTAATGATGATGAAGTACCACCTCATTGCGAACCTCATTTTGATGTCACTCAACTCTTCATTAGTATTCTCTTCTGCTCGCTCTCTCTTGTTGAATCCAATTTTGATTCACCGGATCTGGTTTGAGTTTGATGGTATAATTATAAATATTAAATAAAAACTATTCAGGTCTTCTATTCAGATATTGAATAGTATTATGTTCTTAAAACGGGTGAAAGGACAAATTTGTTTTAAAATTTTTTCACCAAGTACAACCGATATCTTTAATTAAACTTTTAATTAAAATAATATTTTTTAAAAGTTTTAAAATGATACAATTTTATCTTACAGTAACATTTGATTAATGTTAATAGTAATAATTAGTTGAAAGTTCTAACTGGAGTTAAAATTAATTTTGCCTTATAAGTTTTGATTAATGAACAATTGGTATTTTAAAATTTCTATTAGCTAGTGCATTGTTTTTGGGTATCGATGTTCAAATTAGAAGAACAATCAATAGCCCATTGTCATTGTTAAAAATAGTTTATATTTTTGGATTTTGATAAAAAGTCTTCCTTTAAATTTCTTTATCATAAAATCAACTCTACCCTCTGGTTAAAAAAAAAAAAAATCTATGAATATTCCATAAACTCGCTCTTGAAATTTGAACCTGCCCTTATCTACCCATAAGCAATTCTTGGCTTGTACAAGCATAAATACAAATTTGTTTGGACGTGTTCATGGACAAATTAAACATGTTAGTTTGGATTTTCACTTAGAAGCAGTCATTATAATTCAACCTAATTTTTTTTAATTTTGAGTTATAATAAATTATATTGGATCCTTTTTTTGATTTAAAAGTTTGTAATATAAAAATATTACACCAATCAAAAATTTAAAATATCAATTACTCTTTAAGAAAAAATTTTGAAACAAAATTATCATTTAATACTTAAAACAATGATCAACGCTAGTCAAATACTATTATAAGAAGACATTACAATATTTTTAAAACGTTTGAAATAATATTGTATTAATAATTATAAGTTGAGAATACTAATTGCATCCATCCAAAGTTTTCGCCGGCCAAAATAAAAAAACAAAAAAACTATCAAAAGTTTTCTAGACAAGTGCCTTGGTGGCCGGCTTCCGGCTGCTCATTTTGGCCGTACTATTGCGCCATTGATATCATTATGAGTTGTCATGTGACCACAACGTGGACAGCTTCAGACTACTCGTTTTCGTGGTACAGCAACTAACTTAGTGGGGCCCATGGAAACCACCATTAGTCCCTCGACACAACGGCACAGAGCACAGTCATATCATAGTTAATAGAAGAGGCAAAGAGAAATAAAACAAGTCCAATAAAAATGACACCTCCATGTTCACAGAAACAAATATTCTTTTTTTTTTTTTTTTTTAATGTTGAGCTCCGGACCTTTAAATTAAATGCTTAAGGATTTACCATGAAGATTCTGTCCAAACTATGACACTTTTTTAATTATATTTTATATGCTAAAAAAAATAATTACCCTCTTTTCTGAAAAAAATAAAGTATTTCTTAAAAGTTGAGTATTTTAAAAATATAAGACTTTTTTATATTTTAAAATATAATTAATGTGTTATGTTTTAAAAATATCTTTAACAAATAAATCAGTTTATTTTTATTTTAAAGTAAAATATTATATTATATAAATATAAATATGAAAAGATGATATTAATTTAAAAAAATTTAACTAATTTATTAAGAGTAAGATTTATTTAAAGATGCTTTTGTACTCTCTCCGTGTCTATATATAAAAGAAAATAATTTTATCATATAGTAAAAAAAATCAGATAGTAATTGTGTCTAGAAATAAAAAAACTAGATTAAAATATTTTTGAATTTAATCAAAATAAGGCATTGAGGTTTCTGCAATTGTTTCTTGTGAGTAAAAATTATGATTTTATTAGAGATAATTTAGAGAAATTATAACAAATGATTATTGAGATATATAATTTTTCTTATATAAAAAATAACAAATCTTAATTTCTCTTATATATAGAAACCAATGAAGTATTTTTTTAATGGGATGAGTATTTTTTTTATTCTCATAAAAAATAATATGTCTACTTTTTATTTTAATTCTTTTATTATGAAAAATTAGAATAAATATTTTGTCAAATTATACTTCTCATGCTCATATTTTTAACCTCAATAGTTACATTTATTAATACATGGATAAATTGAAAAAAAATATTAAGTGTTCTCCATTTTGAAGCAAATTAAATTTAGTTAAAAAATGTCTACTAATTTGGATAGGATATTATCTTGCTTTTTGAAATGCCCTTCACATAATTTAGTATCTATTGGCTCAATTTTATGTGAAGGGGTCGAAGCATCACAATTTTTTAGGTATTCGAGTGAGCTAAGCATGTCAAAGGAGCGTGCCCTTGAAAGAGTAAGTTGCGATCAGACAATTAAAAGGATTTTTAAGGTGTTTTTTTCACAATTTCTTTAAAAAGTCAAGTGATTTGTGAAAAGCAATGGTGGAGGATGTGCCCAAATGCGCATGGACCTTGTTGGAATTAATTAGTAAAGTAAATACAATGATATCCTATATGAGAATGGAAAAGCAAACAAGTTTAAAAAACTACCTTAAAAGCAAAGTTTACATAAAGAAAGTAAGTCATAAAGGGTGAGGTTGAAGACAACGTAGGGTCAAGATTTGAAGAGTTTACGTTGGGAAAGTATTAGGTAAATTTGGAAAAGTGTTGAGAGTTGAATAATTATGCGGTCGTTGCTGTTTATAACAAATGACGTGCGCTCCTATTTGAATTTAGCTCTGGGTGCCAATGAGAGCAAATAACTATTTGTGCCTTTAACTACTTGAAGGTACTCTATTGTGTGATGTGGTAAACATGGGTGCACTGAGATTCTTGGGTAGTGGGAGGAGTGTATGTGATTCAATTAGCTTTCCTTAAAATGCATCGTTTTACTTGTCTTTGCCTAGCTAGACTGCATTTGGTCCGAACTCCCTTTCTTCTAGCTTAGGCTTCACAGACCTTTTGCTTTTGAGTTTGGCGATCCAAATTTGGTACAAATAGTTTCATATTCAAATGCGGGGTCCATTATGCTAAATGCACTCACATGTCACAAGTACAAGCTTTCATTTAATGGTTGGATCATAGAATGGTACTTTTCTTGTTTTGGTATTATTTATAAGACTTTTTTATGATTTGTATGTATGTCTTTTTCCTTTTTCTCTTGGTAAATGTTGAATGCTAGTGTATCTTATTTTTATGCACCTGTTATTGGAAGAACTATGAGCTATGATTGATGGTTTAAATATGTCATAGGCATAAGGGTTTAGAAAGGTTAAGCTTAATGTTGATTGCTTGCTTGCATTATTATCTCATTTGTCACAAGATGCCATTTCCATGAACATTGATAGTTGCTAGATTTGATAGATCCATTCTCAACTACATAGAGGGTAGCAAGTCAAGATTGATCATAGGAATGTATGCATGCAATTTAAAGTAATGTGCATGGTAGTTTGATAAATGGCACAACTCAAAGCTACTAATGATCTTGATATAGAACCACTTAAGGTTGTTTAGAAGTCACGAGAGACATCTTGAGGAAGTTTATTTGAGAATAAATGTCATCTAGTTGAACACTATGAATTGAAGCTTGATAGACTTCATTCACACCTCTGTTGTTCTCCCTTATGTTGTATTGTTGATTATTATTGGCCATCTTTTCCACTAAT